GGTCAGTATGGGAACTTAGAGTGCAAATGCCAGGGAGAACGGAAGCGCTCAGATCTCGCATAGTACACGGAATCAAGTGGTCTCACTCAAATAGAAGGTAGAAAATATATTCATCTAGTGAACGTAAGGGTTTGAAAGGTAACTAACGCACATGTGTAGAGAAAATGGTGCATCGGCCAGTCTGGCCGGCATTTCGCACTTATAGTGCAAGTAGGGCCAAGGAGAACGGAAACGCTCATTTCTCAAAAAGTAAAGGGAATCTAGCGGTCTCACTCGATCAGAAGGTGGGAAATATATAAATCTAGTGAGCTAATAAGGTTTGGAAGGAATCTAATGCATATGTATATGGAAAGTCGTGCATTGGCCAGGTCGGTCAGTATGGGAACTTAGAGTGCAAATGCTAGGGAGAACGGAACCGCTCAGATCTCGCATAATACATGGAATCTAGTGGTTTCACTCAAATATAAGGTAGGAAATATATTCATCTAGTGAACGTAAGGGTTTGAAAAGGTAACTAACGCACAAGTGTAGAGAAAATGGTGCATCGGCCAGTCTGGCCGGCATTTTCACTCATAGTGCAGGTGGAGCCAGGGAGAACGGAAACGGTTGTTTCTCAAAAAGTAGAGGGAATCTAACGGTCTCACTCGATCAGAAGGTGGGAAATATATAAATCTAGTCAGCTCAAAAGGTTTGAAATGTATTCATTGTACATGTATAGAGAAAATGGTGCATTGGCCAGGTCGGTCAGTATCGGAACTTAAAATGCAAATGCCAGGGAGAACGGAAGCGCTCAGATCTCGCATAGTACACGGAATCAAGTGGTCTCGCTCAAATAGAAAGTAGGAAATATATTCATCTAGTGAACGTAAGGGTTTGAAAGGTAACTAACGCACATGTGTAGAGAAAATGGTGCATCGGCCAGTCTGGCCGGCATTTCGCACTTATAGTGCAAGTAGGGCCAAGGAGAACGGAAACGCTCATTTCTCACAACGTAGAGGGAATCTAGCGGTCTCACTCGATCAGAAGGTGGGAAATATATAAATCTAGTGAGCTAATAAGGTTCGGAAGGAATCTAATGCATATGTATATGGAAAGTGGTGCATTGGCCACGTCGGTCAGTATGGGAACTGAGAGTGCAAATGCCTGGGAGAACAGAACCGCTCAGATCTCGCATAATACACGGAATCTAGTGGTCTCACTCAAATATAAGGTAGGAAATATATTCATCTAGTGAACGTAAGGGTTTGAAAGGTAACTAACGCACATGTGTAGAGAAAATGGTGCATCGGCCAGTCTGGCCGGCATTTCGCACTCATAGTGCAGGTGGGGCCAGGGAGAACGGAAACGCTCGTTTCTCAAAAAGTAGAGGGAATCTAACGGTCTCACTCGATCAGAAGGTGGGAAATATATAAATCTAGTCAGCTAAAAAGGTTTGAAATGTATTCAACGCATATGTATAGAGAAAATGGTGCATTGGCCAGGTCGGTCAGTATCGGAACTTAAAATGCAAATGCCAGGGAGAACGGAAGCGCTCAGATCTCGCATAGTACACGGAATCAAGTGGCCTCACTCAAATAGAAAGTAGGAAATATATTCATCTAGTGAACGTAAGGGTGTGAAAGGTAACTAACGCACATGTGTAGAGAAAATGGTGCATCGGCCAGTCCGGCCGGCATTTCGCACTTATAGTGCAAGTAGGGCCAAGGAGAACGGAAACGCTCATTTCTCAAAAAGTAAAGGGAATCTAGCGGTCTCACTAGATCAGAAGGTGGAAAATATATAAATCTAGTGAGCTAGTAAGGTACGGAAGGAATCTAATGCATATGTATATGGAACGTGGTGCATTGGCCAGGTCGGTCAGTATGGGAACTTAGAGTGCAAATGCCTGGGAGAACGGAACCGCTCAGATCTCGCATAATACACGGAATCTAGTGGTCTCACTCAAATATAAGGTAGGAAATATATTCATCTAGTGAACGTAAGGGTTTGAAAGGTAACTAACGCACATGTGTAGAGAAAATGGTGCATCGGCCAGTCTGGCCGGCATTTCGCACTCATAGTGCAGGTGTGGCCAGGGAGAACGGAAACGCTCATTTCTCAAAAAGTAGAGGGAATCTAACGGTCTCACTCGATCAGAAGGTGGGAAATATATAAATCTAGTCAGCTAAAAAGGTTTGAAATGTATTCAACGCACATGTATAGAGAAAATGGTGCATTGGCCAGGTCGGTCAGTATCGGAACTTAAAATGCAAATGCTAAGGAGAACGGAAAGCGCTCGGATCTCGCATAGTACACGGAATCTTGTGGTCTCACTCAAATAGAACGTAGGAAATAAATTCATCTAGTGAACGTAAGGGTTTGAAAGGTAACTAACGCACATGTGTAGAGAAAATGGTGCATCGGCCAGTCTGGCTGGCATTTCGCACTTATAGTGCAAGTAGGGCCAAGGAGAACGGAAACGCTCATTTCTCAAAACTAAAGGGAATCTAGCGGTCTCACTTGATCAGAAGGTGGGAAATATATAAATCTAGTGAGCTAATAAGGTTCGAAAGGAATATAATGCATATGTATATAGAAAATGGTGCATTGGCCAGGTCGGTCAGTATGGGAACTTAGAGTACAAATGCCAGGGAGAACGGAAACGCTCAGATCTCGCATAGTACACGGAATCTAGTGGTCTCACTCAAATAGAAGGTAGTGTCAGATTACTATAGCTGATGCATGTTTATAGGCTATAGTGGGGTAGCACATATGGGGTACAGCTTTCTAGGGTTGTATTTGTACCCAACCTTGACTGGGTACAAGTTGTATTTGTATTTGTATTCATTCATTCCTGTTTTACAAGTTTCACATGGTATAGAGCGGGTTCCCTGTGGGAACTTTGCCTAGGGCCCACCGAGGCGCGCTAGCTTTTTTTTTCCTCTCGCTCGAGCGACCCTCCGTGTCGCCCTTCCCTCGCGGCCCTGCCGCCCCTTCAGACGCGGCCCCGCCGCCCATTTCGATCGCGGCTCCGCCGCCTGCTCAGACGCGGCCCCGCCACCTACTCAACCGCGGCCCCGCCGCCCGCTACGACGCGGCCCCGCCGCCCGCTCAGACGCGGCCCCTGCCGCCCGCTCAGACGCGGCCCCGCCGCCTGCTCAGACGCGGCCCCGCCGCCCGCTACGACGCGGCCCCGCCGCCCGCTTTGACGCGGCCCCGCCGTCTGCTCTGACGCGGCCCCGCCGCCTGCTTTGACGCGGCCCCGCCGCCTGCTTCGACGCGGCCCCGCCGCATGCTTTGACTCGGCCCCGCCGCCCGCTTTGACGCGGCCCCGCCGCCTGCTCAGCCCCGGCCCCGCCGCCCACTACGACGCGGCCCCGCCACCTGCTTTGACGCGGCCCCGCCGCCCGCTTTGATGCGGCCCCGCCGCCTGCTCAGCCCCGGCCCCGCCGCCCACTACTACGCGGCCCCGCCGCCTGCTCAGCCGCGGCCCCGCCGCCCGCTCAGACGTGGCCCCGCCGTCCCCCCTGCCGGCCTTGCTTCGCCGGCCCCGCCGCCCCTGGTCTCACGGCCCCGTCACCCTACCTGCAGCAGCCGAGCCGCCCACCTGCAGCAGCCGAGCAGCGGTGCAGCCGAGCCGCCCTGCCGCCGAGCCGCCCGGGAGCCGAGCCGCCTTGCACCCGAGCCGCCCGACACCGAGCCGCCCGGAAGCCGAGCCGCCCAGCAGCCGAGTCGCTGAGTTGCCGAGCCGCCCTTCTGCTGCGCTGCCCTGCCTGGTGAGCACAGTCCCACTGTCACTGCGTGCTCTTCCCCTACTGCTTGCACTGCTTCGCTGTCGTCGTCATGGCTACCCCTAGTGTCCTAGCTTTAGACGCTGAGGGTCGCGCCATTGACTTTGAGGTCTGGGTCGACGACCTGCAGTTGTTTTTACAGTGCGATAGGGCAGACGGCCTCTCTCTCTTTGACCTCACTTCTGGCGCCTCTCCTGCCCCTGCTGCTGATGCTGATCCCACTGTGCGCTCTCAGGGTTTAGGCCCTTATAAATATAGTGAGCTAATAAGGTTCGGAAGGAATCTAATGTATATGTATATGAAAAGTGGTGCATTGGCCAGGTCGGTCAGTATGGGAACTTAGAGTGCAAATGCCTCAGAGAACGGAACCGCTCATATCTCGCATAATACACGGAATCTAGTGGTCTCACTCAAATATAAGGTAGGAAATATATTCATCTAGTGAACGTAAGGGTTTGAAAGGTAACTAACGCACATGTGTAGAGAAAATGGTGCATCGGCCAGTCTGGCCGGCATTTCGCACTCATAGTGCAGGTGGGGTCAGGGAGAACGGAAACGCTCGTTTCTCAAAAAGTAAAGGGAATCTAACGGTCTCACTCGATCAGAAGGTGGGAAATATATAAATCTAGTGAGCTAAAAAGGTTTGAAATGTATTCAACGCACATGTATAGAGAAAATGGTGCATTGGCCAGGTCGGTCAGTATCGGAACTTAAAATGCAAATGCCAGGGAGAACGGAAGCGCTCAGATCTCGCATAGTACACGGAATCAAGTGGTCTCACTCAAATAGAAAGTAGGAAATATATTCATCTAGTGAACGTAAGGGTTTGAAAGGTAACTAACGTACATGTGTAGAGAAAATTGTGCATCGGCCAGTCATGCCGGCATTTCGCACTTATAGTGCAACTAGGGCCAAGGAGAACGGAAACGCTCATTTCTCAAAAAGTAGAGGGAATCTAGCGGTCTCACTCGATCACAAGGTGGGAAATATATAAATCTAGTGAGCTAATAAGGTTCGAAAGAAATCTAAAGCATATTTATATGGAAAATGGTGCATTGGCCAGGTCGGTCAGTATGGGAACTTAGAGTGCATATGCCTGGGAGAACGGAAGCGCTCAGATCTCGCATAGCACACGGAATCTAGTGGTCTCACTCAAAAAGAAGGAAGGAAATAAATTCATCTAGTGAACGTAAGGGTTTGAAAGGTAACTAACGCAAATATGTAGAGAAAATGGTGGACGTGGACGTGGACATGGACATGGACGTGGACGTGGAGGTGGACGTGGACGTGGAGAACTTGGACGTGGACATAGATGTGGACGTGGACGTGGACGTGGAGGACTTGGACGTGGACATGGACGTGGACGTGGACGAGGACGTGGACATGGACGTGGACGTGGATGTGGACATGGACGTGGACGTGGACATGGACGTGGACGTGGACGTGGACGTGGACGTGGACGTGACGTGGACGTGGACGTAGACGTGGACGTGGACATGGACGTGGACGTAGACCTGGACGTGGACATGGACGTGGACCTGGACGTGGACGTGGACGTGGACGTGGACGTGGACGTGGACGTGGACGTGGACGAAGACATTGTCGTGGACGTGGACGTGGACGTGGAGGTGGACGTGGACATGGACTTAGACGTGGACGTGGACGTGGACGTGGACGTGGACATGGACGTGGACGTGGACGTGGACGTGACGTGGACGTGGACGTGGACGTGGACGTGGACATGGACGTGGACGTAGACCTGGACGTGGACATGGACGTGGACCTGGACGTGGACGTGGACGTGGACGTGGACGTGGACGTGGACGTGGACGTGGACGTGGACGTGGACGAAGACATTGTCGTCGACGTGGACGTGGACGTGGAGGTGGACGTGGACATGGACTTAGACGTGGACGTGGACGTGGACGTGGACGTGGACATGGACGTGGACGTGGACGTGGACGTGGACGTGACGTGGACGTGGACGTGGACGTGGACGTGGACATGGACGTGGACGTAGACCTGGACGTGGACATGGACGTGGACCTGGACGTGGACGTGGACGTGGACGTGGACGTGGAGGTGGACGTGGACGTGGACGTGGAGGTGGACGTGGACATGGACTTAGACGTGGACGTGGACGTGGACGTGGATGTGGACATGGACGTGGACGTGGACGTGGACGTGGACGTGACGTGGACGTGGACGTGGACGTGGACGTGGACATGGACGTGGACGTAGACCTGGACGTGGACATGGACGTGGACCTGGACGTGGACGTGGACGTGGACGTGGACGTGGAGGTGGACGTGGACGTGGACGTGGAGGTGGACGTGGACATGGACTTAGACGTGGACGTGGACGTGGACGTGGACGTGGACGTGGACGTGGTCGTGGACGTGGACGTGGACGTGGTCGTGGACGTGGACTTGGACGTGAACGTGGACGTGGACGTGGACGTGGACGTGGACGTGGACGTGGACCTGGACGTGGACGTGGACGTGGACGTGGACGTGGACGTGGACTTGGACGTGGACGTGGTCGTGGACGTGGACGTGGACGTGGACGTGGACGTGGACCTGGACATGGACGTGGACCTGGACGTGGACGTGGACGTGGACGTGGAAGTGGACGTGGACGTGGACGTGGACGTGGACGTGGACTTGGTCGTGGACGTGGACGCGGACGTGGACGCGGACGTGGACGCGGACGTGGACGCGGACGTGGACGCGGACGTGGACGCGGACGTGGACGCGGACATGGACGTGGACATGGACGTGGACATGGACGTGGACGTGGACGTGGACGTGGACTTGGACGTGGACGTGGACATGGACGTGGACGTGGACGTGGACGTGGACGTGGACATGGACGTGGACGTGGACGTGGACATGGACGTGGACATGGACGTGGACATGGACGTGGACATGGACGTGGACATGGACGTGGACGTGGACATGGGCGTGGACGTGGACGTGGACGTGGACGTGGACGTGGAGATGGACGTGGACATGGACGTGGAGGACTTGGACGTGGAGATAGGCGTGGACGTGGATGTGGACGTGGACATGGACGTGGACATGGACATGGACGTGGACGTGGACGTGGACATGGACGTGGACATGTACGTGGACGTCGACGTGGACGTGGACGTGGACGTGGAGAACTTGGACGTGGACATGGACGTGGACGTGGACGTGGACGAAGACATGGTCGTGGATGTGGACGTGGACGTGGACGTGGACGTGGACATGGACTTAGACGTGGACGTGGACGTGGACGTAGACGTGGACGTGGTCGTGGACGTGGACGTGGACGTGGACGTGGACGTGGACATGGACGTGGACGTGGACGTGGACGTGGACGTGGACATGGACGTGGACGTGGACGTAGACAAGGACGTGGACTTGGACATGGACGTGGACGCTCGTGGACCAGGCAAGCTCCTGGACCAGGCAAGCTCCTTGACCAGGATAGCTCCTGGACTAGGCAAGCTCCTGGACCAGGCACACTCCTGGACCATGCAAGCTCCTAGACCAGGCAAGCTCCTGGACGAGGCAAGCTTCTGGACCAGGCAAACTCGTGGACCACGCACGCTCCTAGACCAGGCAAGCTCCTAGACCAGGCAAGCTCCTAGACCAGGCAAGCTCCTGGACAAGGCAAGCTCCTGGACCACGCAAGCTCTAGGACCAGGCAAGCTCTTGGACCAGGCAAGCTCCTGGACCTGGCAAGCTCCTTGACCAGGCAAGCTCCTCGACCACGCAAGGTCTTGGATAAGTCAAGCTCTTAGACCAGGCACGCTCCTGGACCAGGCAAGATCTTGGACCAGGCAGGCTTTTGGACCAAGCAAGAGATTGGACCATGCAAGCTCCTGGACCAGGCAAGCTCCTGGACCAGGCAAACTCCTGGACTAGGCACGTTCGTGGACCATGCACGCTCCTGGACCAGGGAAGCTCTTGGACCAGGCAGGCTCGTAGACCACGCAAGCTCCTGGACCAGGCAAGCTCCTTGACCAGGCAAGCTCCTTGAGTAGGCAAGCTCCTGAACCAGGATAGCTCCTGGACCAGGCAAGCTCCTGGACCAGGCAAGCTCCTGGACCAGGCAAGCTCCTTGACCAGGCAAGCTCCTGGACCAGGCAAGCTCCTGGACCATGCACGCTCGTGGACCATGCACGCTCTTGGACCAGGAAAGCTCTTGGACCAAGCACGCTCCTGGAACAAGCAAGCTCTTGGACCAGGCAAGCTCCTGGACTAGGCAAGCTCCTGGACCAGGATAGCTCCCGGATCAGGCAAGCTCCTGGACCAGGCACGCTCCTGGACCATGCAAGCTCCTAGACCAGGCAAGCTCCTGGACCACGCAAGCTTCTGGACCAGGCAAACTCGTGGACCAGGCACGCTTCTGGACCAGGCAAGCTCCTGGACCAGGCAAGCTCCTAGACCAGGCAAGCTCATGAACCAGACAAGCTCTTGGACCAGGCAAGTTCCAGGACCAGGCAAGTTCCTTGACCAGGCAAGCTCCTTGACCAGGCAAGTTCCTCGACCAGGCACGCTCGTGGACCATGCTCGCTCTTGGACCAGGCAAGCTCTTGGACCAGGCACGCTCCTCGAACAGGCAAGCTCCTGGACCAGGCAAGCTCCTAGACCAGGCACGCTCCTGGACCATGCAAGCTCCTAGACCAGGCAAGCTCCTAAACCAGGCAAGCTTCTGGACCAGGCAAAGTCGTGGACCAGGCACGCTCCTGGACCAGGCAAGCTCCTGGACCAGGCAAGCTCTTGGACCACGCAAGCTCCTGGACCAGGCAAGCTCCTGGACCAGGCAAGCTCCTAGACCAGGATAGCTCCTGGACCAGGCAAGCTCCTGGAACAGGCAAGCTCCTAGACCAGGCAAGCTCCTGGACCACGCAAGCTCTTGGACCAGGCAAGCTCTTGGACCAGGCAAGCTCCTGGACAAGGCAAGCTCCTGGATTAGGCAAGCTAACGGACCAAGAAAGCTCCTGGACAAGGCAAGCTCTTGGACCACGCAAGCTCCTGGACCAGGCAAGCTCCTAGACCAGGATAGCTCCTGGACCTGGCAAGCTCCTGGAACAGGCAAGCTCCTGGAACAGGCAAGCTCCTTGACCAAGCAAGCTCCTGGACCAGGATAGCTCCTGGACTAGGCAAGCTCCTGGACCAGGCACGCTCCTGGACCATGCAAGCTCCTAGACCAGGCAAGCTCCTGGACCAGGCAAGCTTCAGGACCAGGCAAACTCGTGGACCAGACATGCTTCTGGACCAAGGAAGCTCTTGGACCAGGCAAGCTCCTAGACCAGGCAAGCTCCTGGACCAGGCAAGCTCCTGGACCACGCAAGCTCTTGGACCAGGCAAGCTCTTGGACGAGGCAAGCTCCTGGACTACACAAGCTATTCAACAAGGCACGCTCCTGGACCAGGCAAGTTCGTGGACGAGGCAGGCTTCTGGACCAAGCAAGCTCTTGGACCACGCAAGGTCCTAGACCAGGAAAGCTCCTGGACCAGGCAAGCTCAAAGACCAGACAAGCTCAAAGACCAGGCAAGCTCTCGGACCAAGCAGGCTCGTGGACCAGGCAAGCTCCTGGACCAGGCAAGCTCCAGGACCAGGCAAGCTCCTGGACCAGGCAAGCTCTTGGACCAAGAAAGCTCCTGGACCAGGCAAGCTCCTTGACCAGGCAAGCAAACGGACCAAGAAAGCTCCTCGACAAGGCAAGCTCCTGGACCAGGCATGCTCGTGGAACAGGCAAGCTCCTAGACCAGGCAAGCTCCTGGACCAGGCAAGCTCCTGGACCAGGATAGCTCCTCGACCAGACTAGCTCCTGGACTAGGCACGCTCCTAGACCATTCAAGCTCCTAGACCAGGCAAGCTCTTGGACCAGGCAAGCTTCTAGACCAGGCAAACTCGTGGACCAAGCACGCTCCTGGACCAAGCAAGCTCCTGGACCAGGCAAGATCCTAGATTAGGCAAGCTCGTGGACCAGGCAAGCTTCTAGACCAGGCAAGCTCTTGGACCAGGCAAGCTCTTGGACCAGGCAAGCTCCTGGACCAGGCAAGCTTCTGGACCACGAAAGCTCCTGGACCACGCAAGCTCTTGGACCAGGCAGGCTCGAGGACCAGGCAAGCTCCTGGACCACGAAAGCTCCGGGACCAGGCAAGCTCCTGGACCAGGCTCGCTCGTGGACCAGGCACACTCCTGGTCCAGGCACGCTCTCGGACCAGGCAAGCTCGTGGATCAGGCACGCTCGTGGACAAGGCAAGCTAACGGACCAAGAAAGCTCCTGGACAAGGCAAGCTCGTGGACCAGGCACGCTCGTGGAACAGGCAAGCTCCTGGACCTGGCAAGCTCCTGGACCAGGCAAGCTTCTGTACCAGGCAAGCTCCTGGACCATGCAAGCTCCTAGACCAGGCAAGCTCCTGGACCAGGCAAGCTTCTGGACCAGGCAAACTCGTGGATCAGGCACGCTCCTGGACCAGGCAAGCTCCTAGACCAGGCAAGCTCCTGACCAGGCAAGCTCCTGGACCAGGCAAGCTCCTGGACCACGCAAGCTCTTGGACCAGGCAAGCTCTTGGACCAGGCAAAGCTCCTGGACCAGGCAAGCTCTTGGACCAGGCAAGCTCCTGGACCACGCGAGCTCCTAGACCACGCAAGCTTTTGGACCAGGCACGCTCGTGGACCAGGCAAGCTCTTGGACCAGGCAGGCTTCTGGATCAAGCAAGCTATTGGTTCACGCAAGCTCCTGGACCAGGCAAGCTCCTGGACAAGGCAAGCTCCTGGACCAGGCAAGCTAACGGACCAAGAAAGCTCCTAGACAAGGCAAGCTCCTGGACCAGGAATGCTCGTGGAACAGGCAAGCTCCTGGACCTGGCAAGCTCCAGGACCAGGATAGCTCGTGGACCAGGCAAGCTCCTGGACCAGGCACGCTCTTGGACCATGCAATCTCCTAGACCAGGCAAGCTCCTGGACGAGGCAAGCTTCTGGACCAGGCAAACTCCTGGACCAGGCAAGCTCTTTGACCAGGCAAGCTCCTGGACCAGGCAAGCTCCTGGACCAGGCAAGCTCATAGACCAAGTAAGCTCCTGGACCAGGCAAGCTCCTGGACCACGCAAGCTCTTGGACCAGGCAAGCTCTTGGACCAGGCAAGCTCCTGGACCAGGGAAGCTCCTGGACCAGGCAAGCTCCTCGACCACGCAAGCTCCTGGATCACGCAAGCTCTTGGACCTGGCACGCTCTTGGACCAGGCAAGCTCTTGGACCAGGCAGGCTTCTGGACCAAGCAAGCTATTGTACCACGCAAGCTCCTGGACCAGGCAAACTCTTGGACCAGGCACGCTCGTGGACCGTGCACGCTCCCAGACGAGGCAAGCTCTTGGACCAGGCAGGCTCGTGGACAAGGCAAGCTCGTGGACCAGGCAAGCTCCTGGACCAGGCAAGCTCCTTGACCAGGCAAGCTCCTAGACCAAGCAAGCTCGTGGACTAGGCACGCTTGTGGACCATGCACGCTCTTGGACCAGGCAAGCTCTTGGACCAGGCACGCTCCTGGATCAGGCAAGCTCTTGGACCAGGCCATCTCCTGGACCAGGCGAGCTCCTGGACCAGGATAGCTCCTGGACCAAGCAAGCTCTTGGACCACGCACGCTCCTGAACCATGCAAGCTCTTAGACCAGGCAAGCTCCTGGACCAGGAAAGCTTCTGGACCAAGCAAACTCGTGGACCAGGCACGAACTTGGACAAGGCAAGCTCCTGGACCAGGCAAGCTCCTAGACCAGGCAAGCTCTTGAACCAGGCAAGCTCCTGGACCAGGCAAGCTCCTGGACCAGGCAAGCTCTTGGACCAGGCAAGCTCCTTGACTAGGCAAGCTCCTGACCAGGCAAGTTCATGGACCAGGCACGCTCGTGGACCATACACGCTCTTGGACCAGGCAAGTTCTTGGACCAGGCACGCTCCTCGAACAGGCAAGCTCCTGGACCAGGCAAGCTCCTGGACCAGGCAAGCTCCTGGACCAGGATAGCTCTTGGACCAGGCAAGCTCTTGGACCAGGCACGCTCGAGGACCATGCAAGCTCTTAGACCAGGCAAGCTCTTGGACCAGGCAAGTTTCTGGACCAAGCAAACTCGTGGACCAGGGTAGCTCCTGGACCACGCTAGCTCCTGGACCAGGATAGCTCCTGGACCACGCTAGCTCCTGGACTAGGCACGCTCCTGGACCATGCAAGCTCCTAGACCAGGCAAGCTCTTGGACCAGGCAAGCTTCTAGACCAGGCAAACTCGTGGACCAAGCACGCTCCTGGACCAAGCAAGCTCCTGGACCAGGCAAGCTCCTAGACCAGGCAAGCTCGTAGACCAGGCAAGCTTCTAGACCACGCAAGCTCTTGGACCAGGCAAGCTCTTGGACCAGGCAAGCTCCTGGACCACGCAAGCTTCTGGACCACGAAAGCTCCTGGACCACGCAAGCTCTTGGACCTGGCAGGCTCGAGGACCAGGCAAGCTCTTGGACCAGGCAAGCTTCCGGACCAGGCAAGCTCCTGGACCACGAAAGCTCCGGGACCAGGCAAGCTCTTGGACTAGGCTCGCTCGTGGACCAGGCACACTCCTGGTCCAGGCACGCTCTTGGACC